AAGCTCTGTGAAATAGCTTTCTAATTTTGTGCAGAGCTACTATGTGTCTAACTAACTATGTGACCAACAGATGGAGGTCCAGGCTCCACCTGGGACCACCATAGGGTACGTCAAACAGGACTGGCACCCTTTCCTGCCAAAGTTTTCCATCCAGGGAGCAAACAAGGAGACACTCATGAGACTGGAGGGGCCCTGCTTTGCCTGCAACTGCTGTGGAGATGTCAACTTTGAGGTGAGCTCAGAGGGTCGTTGTTTGTGGGGGAAACTGAACTCTGAGTAAATTTCATCCATCAGCCAACAGTGATTTGTTACAGATCCACTCAGATAATCTAAACAGGACTGGTAACAGTCACAGAAATGTTGATGATGATTTTTAATTAAGTCAACTAATAATTGGGCAGTTAATAATTATAAAAAGAGGAGCTTTGGTGGAGGTTTGTTGCAAAGCAGCTTGCAGGTGAATTGCAATTGTAGGCAGGCTAAAGCAGCTTAAACAGCAGATCAGGTCAGCTAATCTCCCAGGATTGCAGCTGCAGCAGAGCTTGATTTTTGTTTATTACGTAATCTTCTTGTGTCGTGGTGAGCTTGCTTGTCAGTATTTTCTCCCACTCGTCCAGTTACTTTTCCAACACTAAAGAGCATTCATGGAAACACATTTTTCCTATTTGACACAAAGTGAATGATCCTTAGTGGTACTGATGGTAAGATTGTGTTACCTTTCATACAGAACCAAAAAAGCTGTTTTATCTCCTGGTAAGCTAACTGCACATTAAGCTCATATTTCTCAGTAAGAAGGCAAAACAAATTTAAACAAATCAGCAACAATGTGAACAGTTTTGAGTGTTTAAGAAAGCAATTGTGGCTGACGAACGCTGGTATTCTTATTGTTGTTCAGCTCAAGGGGAAAGATGGCGACACCCCCATTGGTCGCATCAGCAGGCAGTGGGGCGGCCTTCTGAAGGAAACCTTCACTGACACCAGTAACTTTGGCATCCAGTTCCCGCTGGACTTGGACGTGAAGATGAAAGCTGTGCTGATGGGTGCCTGCTTCCTCGTTCCTCACGATGTAGATGGACATTGTTGATTTTGAAATATGTGGTGTGTTGCTGAATAAAACAATCGAATACTTTTGGCGTTGCTCTGCAGGATTTCATGTTCTTTGAGAAAACTGGAGAGGCCAACAATTGCAGCAGTGTGTTTTCATAACAGAAGAAAACGAAAACATGGGGGGGATGCCCTGCGATGAAGGTGTTTTCCTGTTATGTACTGGGCTCCAGACTAACTTTTACCATGATTGCACTGGTGCGCCTAACTTTTTTTCTTAGGTGCACCAGCACAAAAGTTAGGTGCACCCAAATTTTTCACCCGAATCGCTGAACCCCACTGTTTTACATATTCACTTTTTTTTTTTTTTAAATTGCTGTGCATACAAACAATATTGATTTGTAAATGATTAACTAACAATCTTGTGAACACAAAGTTCTTTATTTGGAGCACCATTCTGCAAAAAAGATAAGTTACTGAAAAAGTGCTTGTGCTTAAAGTTTTTTGGCACCCCTTGGCAATATTGTAGGCAATGTTAAACTTAATCATCAGCCTGGCCTGGCTTTTAATAGCAGATAGCCTTAAAAATATTCTGCAGTAGAACAAAAGCTGAAGAAAACGTGAATGGACATAATGAACATAATGAACATGAATCAACATATTCAGCAAAAGGACTAGATGTTACAATCCCTGATAATGCATTGCTATAAATGGAGAAAATCTTGAGGGATGGCTCTTATGAGGAAAGGCAACCAGTGGCACTTCCATTCCCATGTTATTACAGCCGATAGGGCATGAACAGGGAAAAGGGGGCAAAAAGACATACTTTAGAAATGTAACCCTTTCAGTACCAATTAGATCACATAATTGTAATGATTTAGAAAGAGATAATT